GCTGGAACAGGTTGCCCAGAGAAGCTGTGGATGCCCCATCCTTGGAGGTGTTCAAGGCCAGGTTGGATGGGGCTTTGGCCAGCCTGATCTAGTGGGTGGCATCTCTGCCCATGGCAGGGGGTTGGAGTTGGATGGTCTTTAAGGTTCCTTCCAACCCGAGCCATTCTATGATTCTATGATCCCCCTCCATAAATTTAACTAGGTAATGTAGAAGCTTTATTTTACCACATTAAAATGGCTCTCCTTCAAGTTCTTACCTGAGTCCAGCCTTCAGTGAACCACACCCCGTCTAAAATCTGTTAAACCTGTCCAGATGATAACATTACTGCACTGCTTGAAGGCAGATGAAAGCAGCTGGGGGAGCTGTCACAGCAAGAGGCAGCAGTGATGCTGCTCCCACAAGCCAAAGCTCAAGTAGCTTTGATTTGGCAAAGAAGATTTAAGAAGATGTGCTCCTCCAGCACCCCTGTGACATTAACTCCTCGGGTAGTAGCTTTTCTCTCCATTGTGCTGGTTGAGCAAGACTTGTTTCTTCCTGAGGGCCCTAGGAGAGGTGTGACAGAATTAGTCTTCTCACACTGAAGGCCACACGACCTGTACAGAGGCTCTCCAGCCAATGCTACAACCCCCAAGCAAGATGGGAAAGCTGACATTTTCAAAATGCTTCCTGCATGTAACAGTGCGTGTTGATTTGCACAGGTCCACGCCTAAATGCAAATCCTTCGCACATTCCTGTAGGTAACATCTTACACACTGATACCAAAGGCACGTATGGGTGCCAAACATGTTCTGAAAACACCACGTTTGCTAGGGTACACTGGGCATTCATTGCGCAAAAGTGCCCAGTCTCGAGAAGTTCAATTCGTAGTGCCAATGTTAATTCCCCCTAAATGGCTGACACTTCCTGATAGCGCTTCTAGAAATTGTTATGGAGCATGTAAATGTCAGAAAGAACCAGCAAAGCCATGGCAAGCGACCTTTTCCCCAGCCCTGGGAGCAAGCTGTGGGTATTTGCAGTGACAGTTCAGACCTACAAGCGAGTTAAAATTGTTTTGCTCTTTTCTGCTCTGGATGGGCAGCTTTGGAAAGGTGTTGTATGACTGCTGCTTGACATGGGCATTTGTTGAAGCAAACTTTTTTTTTTTCTCAAAAGATCTTGAATAGCTCTTAATTAAATGGGTTTTGTATTGTGCTAGGTGAGGGTGTGCCCCATCCTGGCTGGCAAAGCTGAACAGGGAAAGGCCAAAGCAGTAACCGACACCGAAACACAGGGAGGGAGCAGGGGCTCTGCACACCTCAGGACTTAAAACCGTCCTCAACCTTTGGTCTTGTCCTCAGCACACACAAAAAGTGAGAAGGGAGATTTCAAAGGGGTTTATAAAGAATCTGTTTAGAAGTAAAAGCTGATCTAGAGGATAAGAACAAAAGAACAATGGCCACGCCGAAATGTTATACTGGTCTGAACTGGAGCCATTTCACTGAGAGATTCTGTAAGGAATAATTTTGAGTCAAGGCTGGAAAAGATCAAATAGCAGCTGGAAAGCATGAATATACTGGGGAGGAGGAGAGAAAGGAGCTATATTGCTTCAGCACAAACAGCTGAAAATACAAGAAAAAGTGCTTTTGATATTACACAGCCCTTTTTTATCATTAACTCTGTTTGCCCATGTAAATAAAGCAGAAATTTACCTTTTAAAATTCTTATCTTTGTACAATTTCGATAGTTTTGTGTAACTACGCTCCTTTCTCTAAGAGGTTTCCCAGACGTGTAGATCCACAGAGGTATCGAGACACCATTGAAGCAGGTGGAATTGGACACCTCAATGCTTTTGTCAATATGACCCTTCGGCCACACTGGAAATCTGCAGCTAGGTGAGGGGAGATACACCCTAACACAACTACACTGGTTTAAATACACAGCTTAGGTTATAGGGAAATTATTTTTCCCATTGTGTACTACTGGAATGTCGATGCCACAAATACGACTTTAATTCTTTGAAACTTCTGCCTGTCTCTTCAGTTCTGTTTAACATCCCAGGCATGGTTTATAATGCACAACTTCAGCAACTGTCCTCAAGGTAGCTGCTTTATAATGACGTGTAAGTTTATTTAAGTGTTTATTTAAACTCCCACGTGTCTGGAGGTTCCTCTGAGGGATGCAAATCTTTAGCCCATTTGAACCTCTTGCCACCACTTAACACAGCTTGGTTCTCTGAGGAAGTCTTCACAAGGTCTAATTTCTGGTCTCAGAGCAGATTCTTCATTCAGTTCACATGTTTAGTCACAAGCTTTACTTCAGCCCTATATCCTGAATTCCCTACCCTTAAAGAAGAAATGATGCATGCTTATTTTCAGGTATGTGAAAGGATCAGTTTTCAGCATTGAGCTCACATCTCCAGAACTCGCCTCAACTGCAAAGTGTTGTTACTAACTTGAGGTTAGGTTTAGGCAGAGAAGGGTCACAAGAATATCTTCAGACTTTTTGTAAATGTTTTGCAGGGGACAAACACAGGCACATTTCTATTTCGGCATAATAAGAATAAAAAACAAAACAAAACAAAACAAAAAACAACTAGAGAGGTAATACATGGTAAACAAGTCATTAGAAAGATAACTATGGTAAATTATTATAGCAGGAATATAAAAATGTGAACTAAGGAAGAATAACTGTCCAAAAGAATAAAAGATTGTACTTCAAATACTGCAACTGATCATTTAAAATCTGACCTCAGCTTTTCAGAGCTTATGCGATCTCAATCGTGGTCAATGTCTGTTATTCTAATGTGATTCCCCACTTTCTCACTGCTTTCCATTTCAGAATCAATTCAGCAGATGCTAATTAACACCTGCGATGGCTAATGTATTGCCTGGAGACATATTCATATATATCACTAGCCAGTTGAGAACTGAGCCAGGAACAAACCATAGCTTTCTGACCTTGCAGGAAGAATTAAACCATCTTTAAAAGCTCAGTGTAATGTCTAGGTGTTGGCTTGTCTCTCCCTAAAAGAGAGTACCAGTGCAAAATGCTGTCCTACTGTATTCTGTACTTGTGCTGATTTCGTAAATTCTACTTCTCTAGCTGCTTTAGGAGCAAGCAAGGACATTGCTATAGTGTTTGTATGCCAAGAAAAGAATCCCCAAAAAGAGAAACCAGAAAATATGGCTCCTGTAGGTTTTTCTCCTCCTCCTCCTCTTTGCAGCGGTCTGAGTTACAGCATTTTGAGGAAGCAATGTTGGAAGGATTCCCCTTCTACATTTATGCCATGTTGCCAGTCCTGAACCTAAGGATGCTAAACAGGCAAACCAAGACTGATTTTTGGAAACTTCTATCACTGCGGATGCATATGCAGATAAATTCGACCAAGGATGTGCAGACTGTGTTTCTCAGTTAGCTGTGTTTCCAGCATCAATACCAAGGCTCAGTTCTGCTCCTGATCATAAAGCTGAGTGGGAAGGTGCCCAGAAGCACATGCAGAAATGGATCTACTATATATTTTCTTTTTCCCTTGGCTGCTGAACTGCTGCCCACTCTTCTGTCACCGAGCAGCACTTGTGGGCTCAGTTTTGTTTATCTGTTTTAGAAGTTACAGGCTGAGTATGAAACAAAGACCTGGAAAGTAAAATGCACTGAAGCCAGCAGGGCAAAGAAAAAATGTGAGCCACTGAAGTACAAGGGTGCACAGTACCTCTAATTTTTCATTTCAACAGACAAACATAGGCGTGGTTCTCATTCACAGTAACACAGAAGATCATGCATTTAACCTCCTTAGTGTAGAAGGATAATAACATCAATAACCACAATAAACAGCAATTTTGCACAAGGGGAATGGCCTGAGGCATTGCAAAGAGGCAGCAGAAGGTTCCTGGCACAGAGGCTTGCACCTGAGAATCAGTGTGGCTCCTCGCCTTCCAAAGCATACGATAGTCTGGTAACTAATACCCTGAAAAACATTCTAATTCATTTACTCATATGAAACATGACATTTAGCTCTGACGAAGATTACTCACTGGAGTAAATTTTTCATTTAAAATCAGGCCTTGCAGCTATTATGGAAAGTCGTTTGCTATCCCCCAAACACATGTTATCTGATGTTATATGGCTTTATCTAGATCAAATGAGCATTAAATCAAATTCTTAAGCTGCAGCTGCTAATCAATATGCTTTAGGTGAAGACTACATCCAATATTTTTTCTTGGAGCTATTTGTAAATTTCAGATGTCTTTAAGGCTAAAATAGACAAACTACTTCACTACTTCTGGTGTGTATTAAACAGCAACTTTATTCCTTCTGTTTTATTCTGAAATGAAAAATCAAAGCCAGCAGGTCTTCCATCCTATTTACAATAAATTAGCAATGAAGGGGAAACGTTTGTTTTTCAAAATGGTGTAATTATATGGTCTCAAATATCATCCTATAATTCACTCTCTCCCACCCCAGTTTTAAAAAGACACCTTAGGAAATACCAGGCTTGGGCTTTTTTTGTTTAGCCCTACCAAATATGATCCCAAAAGGCTACGAAATGAGCTTTCAGTTTGTACCCGGACTTGAAACAGCTTTTCTCCCAATTAGGTATCAGATGTTTGTGCTAAAGTACACACGGGCTTTGAAGTGAAACATCCAGATGTACCATCCAGGCCAAGGCTGTGAGTTCTGTCCTTCAGATCTTAGCCCTCATGTGAGGTTATTTTGTTAACAGACAAGAGGTTTTATATCTCAAATGTAAAATTAATCATGGTTTACACTGCAGTAAAGACAAAACTTTTATAAATAAGTCAATAAAGACCTCACATAGACTTCTCAATTCTTTCAGTTCAGTTTAAGTCCTTGCCTGACCTAACATCTGAGGTTGAAGCTCTTGAGGCTTTCAAAGCATTTATTCCAGTATTTAATCCAGCGTTTCCAATTTAGGATCATTTTCTGCAGGTGCTGCAGCAGGCTTCCTGCTCCCTATAATCTTCGTTGAGTACCAGACTGACCAGCCTACAATAGCAAGGAATGATTCACCAGACAGCTAGTCAAAGCTTTATTTTTAGTTTTGGCAAGAGCAAGAATAAGTAGGTATATACTTTGCAAGTTTATTTGAAAAGTTCACTCGCATTATGAAATATTTAGTTTTGCCCCAAAACTGCAACCCTTAGCAATATTTGGAATAATATTAAGAAAATTGCACTACAACTGACATAGGTTGAACCTCATCTGCTTATTTGTCTTTATTTTGTAAATATGCTACTCTTTGGTTTTAGAAACAAACAGCAGCTACTTTCTCAGTTGCCCCATTTCCTAAACCTACTTTCTGATGCATTATCTTTATAAAGAAGATGAGGAAAATACCTATATTAAGGATGCCAGATGAAGAAAATAACTGTATGAAGAACGCCAACAGCCTTTTAATAATTCAGTGCATAGAACTGCACTATTGTTATAACTGAACAAGTATTCTCCAATAAAAAAGAAAGCTCGACCTTTCTTTACTTCAAGGATTAAAAAAATAATTCAGATGCTCCACAAAATGGACTATTTTTCTGCACCGGCTTAATTCATTTACATGTGTATACATTGCTTAAAGTTTCACCTGAGGCTCCAGCTGAGAAACAAAAGGACTATTTCTGCCAAACAAGTTGGTCGTGGCCAACGGGGCTTCTCATGCCTAGCTGGCAAACACGGGTCAGCACTGACCCAAAGATGTTGCTGCATGGCCATTGCACAGAGGGCGTGGAAAAGTGAGACAAGGCAGTCAGCCAGTTTTCTCATGGATCTAGTTTTTCAGTAGCTGCTATCAAATTCATTGAAGCAAGGATTTGACTGAGCAGGAAGATAGAGTTACTTCTCCTTCCCACAGCTCAAGGTCATGATAAAGATGGAGGATGCCTGCTACCAAATCATTTTATCTGTATTTATTGACTTCATATTCTGACCAAATTTCCAAGCTTTAAGTACCAATCATTAGGATTTAAGATATGACTAATATTTAGTCACATATTAACCTGCATTGATATAGAATCTTAACAGCAACCATTGAACATCATACCAGAGTTCTCCTCAAATAATACCATAATTTGTAGATAGCTTGTGCCTAGATAAAGACTTTCAACCAGTGAACCTGGGAACCTTTTTCCAAGAGACAAACAGAGTTCACTGTAAAAACAGGTAGCTTAGAGTTACAGAGGAATGGATATACTATATTTTCACAGCAGCGTAGGGATTAAAAACTCTGGAAAACATCTGCATGAATTTTACAAAACACTGATCTGTTAACCCCCCTGGGCTAACTGATCCTGAAGTAAGTTTTTTTTATTGTCAGTCTCTCAGTTCCCAGCTTTTAAACTTTCCTTCTTCTCTCTCACATCTCTTCATACATGATGGGGCTTGTTCCACTTGCTTCTTCTTCACAGAAGGCTTTCAGGTGCCCCTTTACTGAAGAGGTTCCAGGTAAGAAAACCGTCTCTGAGGAGAAACAGCAGTGGTCTTCAAGAGCTCCCCCACTCATTGCTCTCCGCTTTGTCAGCACGTAGTCAGGAACACAAAAGGCAGTCCAAAACCAATCAGTGCTTTGTAGCTTGACTAAATGAAAGGGAAAAGCGCAGGTCTGCACATTGGGTGGAAAAAAAAAAAAAGAAGCTTTTACAGAAATACATTTATGATGATACAATCCCTTCGTCCTTGGATTTAGGTGTCTGAAGAAGTAGCTGAGTGAAGGATTGTTAACTAAGGCAGCTAGGTTATCTCAGTTTATTGCACAGGAGCTTTCATTATATACTATTATACACCGCGAACCACAGGACACTCGCCCTCTATCTGCTACATCATCTCGTTGACTGTCAGTGACTATTTTAACCCATATTTTTGGTCAGAATTCATCTCTTTTTTTCCGTTCGGGTCACTTTTTATTATGAACTGACCTTAAATAATTAATTACAGCCAAACAAAATCATAACCACATCATACTTGATAGCTAGGAAATGATTTTCAGTCCCTGCCATTATGTAATATCTTGTATCACATTCAAAAAAGGCTAAAACCATTTCAACAATATCAAGTATATTGCAAATTCATTTAAAAATAAATAAGGCAGTTGTAGCTACATCTTCTACTGTCAAGAAATGTGTAATTGCTCAGTATTTTTAGCTGAGTTTGCTCTGTAAGGCACAACACCAGTGCAAATCTGGCTGATAGTTTACTGTGTCCAAAACCCCAGGAGCTGCAGGAAGGGGCAGCTAGCTGCCCAAGTTAAAGTTTGTGATCTTGCTAGCAAAAAAAATAATCTTGGGAATCTTTAACCTTGCTTCAGGAGCCTTGATCATAGTAAACATTAAAGAACACTTCCAGCGGTGCCAAAGCCTGTTTCCACGTTTGGAGCACAACCCTGCCCGTGCTCTCTCTCCAGAGCTGGTCTTGTCTCCCAGGAGAGTATTTGCATCTTATCACCCGTTTTCTTCATCGTTGTTTCACTACGCCAGTTATCACCAATTATACAAAAACCGTGCATTCCCTGGGTACACAGCGGGAATTGTTAGACAATAACCAGCCTCTCTCTGTAACAGAACTACGGGAGATTAACCTCTGAAACACCTGCTTATCATTAAGAGAGGAAAACACAGTAGAATCCTGCCTTTTGCATATTAAAATGCGATGTGTGGCATGGGAGAACCCAGGCACCTGTGGCTCCCGGCGCCTCTCTGATGACTCCCACAGCACAAGGAGGGCTCCTTCGCTGGCGTGCCCGCTTCCAGCAGGGCAGAAGCACGACTGCTACAGAGCTGTGGCACCGCTGGAAGGTTCTCGGCCCCGAAACGAAGTCCTTCCTTCGAAAGGCAGCGTGTGAAGAGTCTCTCGGACGGAGAGCGGGGAGAAGCTGGCCCGCAGGCGTGAGCAGGGAAGCGTTGGCTCACGGAGGGGCCCGGGGAAGGCACAGAGACCCCAGGATAGCACCTTTTGAGCCTGCCCACCACAGTACCCGCAGCGGGGCGTTCATCGTTATCACCATGCAGACAATCACATCGTCCCTCGATTCAGGGGCTTGCTCCTCGCGGCGGTCGTGCGGCGCCTCTCGCTGTCCGGGGGCCCCCCAAAAGCCTCCGCTGGGCGCCGAGGAGCCCCCGAGAGGGGGGCGAGGAGCGGGGCGAAGCGGCGTGGCGAGCCCCCCGCCGTGGCTACTGGCCCCCGGGGGCGGCTTGGCCGGGCTCGCCGCCGTTGAAGACCTGGGGGCTGTCGGCCAGCAGCGAGGTGCGAGCCTTGCGCGTCTCCTTGAAGCGCCCCGAGTGCGAGACGCGGAGGCTCCGCCGGGCTCCGCCGCCAGCCCCGGCCCCAGCCCCAGCCGCAGGCCCCGGGGGCTCCCCGCTGCCGAAGGGGGGCGTCGCTCCCTCCCGAGGGCCGGGGGCGGCGGAGGGAGGCTGCGGGGAGGGGGCGGCCGCCGCTTCCTTGTGCTTCTTCTTGCCGCCGGTCAGCGACTTCCACCAGTGCCCCGCCGAGCTGCCGCCCTTAGCGGCGGGGGCGGCGGCGGTGGCCGCGGCGCTGTCCGCCATCTCGGCGCTGCCCCTGCGGAGGGAGGGCGAGCGTCAGGGCGCTAAGGGAGATGCCCCAATTTTGCCTTTCCCCCTACCCGCGTCCCTTAACCCGGCCCGGACGGGGGTGGGGGTCTCCCTGCTGCCGCCCCCTCGCCCTCGCAGGGGGTCCCGGGGGGCGGTGACACTGACCTGCGGCAGCGCTGTGCTCGTCCCCGGGGAAGCGCGGCCGCCCCTGCCGCCGCACGCCCCTAGGGCTCCATGGCAGGCGGCTCTGCGGCGTGGCGACAGGCGGCGACAAGCGGCGACAGGCGGCGGCCGGCCCGGGGCTGGCCCCGGTGGGCGGGCGGGCAGGTGTGGGAGGAGCGGCGGCACCGGCGGCCGCGCTCACCTGGACGGCTGCTGAGGCCCAGCCCGCGGGCGGGGGGCAGCCCTCGGGTTTTTAGGAAACAAAACGCCTCTTTCGGTTCCCGATCAGCCGCAGAGAAGGAGCGAGGTGTGCCTGCACCGCGCTGAAAGCGGCGATTCCTTTGGAGAAACAAAACTCCTAAAATTCATGCGGTTCCTAGCACCCAGCAGCTGCGCGCTCCGTTATTCGAGGCTGCCTGTGGAGGAGTTGGGGAGCAGAGGTATTTCGGCCTCCTCCCCTTTGCAGTTCACCTCCTGCTGCTTGTTGCTTCCCTGAAAGCCCGTTAAGGTAAGCCTTGGGTAAGGAAGCATGCATGCACACACACTTGAAAGCACTCTAAACTGTCCTGCTCGCTGGTTTCAACAGCAAAAAAAATCCCTACTCTGGAATAAACCAGTAACTTCCAGCAAGAAAAGAGAGCCTTTACATTGCCTCCAAACAAGCAAGTGACTAACATTTTCCAAGACTGATAGCATCAAGGCATTGGGCTCTGAGACCATGGGGCTGTTTCCCCCAGTGAGTATAACCTGCTGCTGAGCTACACAGTTGTGTCTACAGAGAAAGGAATAGCAGCATTTCTCCTCATCTTGTGTCCCCCAAAACTGCCTGGGAGTTTGTGGAGAAATAAGCACAAATTTAACAGAACATTATTGGTTAACATTCATAGCTTCCACTCTTATACAAAACATTTGCCAGTGTATTACTTGTTTATTTTAATTTGATTACCATAGACCTGACCTCTTAGCTGATATAACACCAAACTTTCACCAGATCGGTACATTTCTCTGTTCAGTCTAAGAATCTTGCAATGAAGGAGATTTGTCCCTTTTGGCACTTTCCTGAAAATAGGGTCTCCTGAAAGGAGACAGGCAGTTCAGAAAGCTTTATAAGGGATGTTGTGAGTGGGAGAGTGTATGCGGCTGCACAGGAGAACAGCAAAACCTGCTCTGCATCTGAAAGTCACTGCTATGAATCAGTCACAACACAGTTACACAAGATTGTCACCGAGGTTAATGTTTATATATAAACAGCTCTGGCAGTGAAAAATGTATGTTCTGCCCCTTTCTTACTGCAACAGTAAGCAGTTGTTGTGTTCCTTCAGTGTGCACATATTTACAGAATTTATACAAAAAGAAAGCAAAACAATCAATTACATAGTTCTTTCAATGTGTGGAAGTTAAATACTATATTTATTTTAAGACTGCTGCAGTTAAATTCTGCCCTTTCTTTGCAGAACGAGAGAATAAAATTAACGTGATTTTGTATTCCCAACTGGGTAAATGTGTGGGATTCTAGCAGACACCCCAATACATTATAAAAGGAGTCTGTCTCTTCCTTATTGTAACATGCTCCTTTTTTGCAGGATTGGATCATACTGACATCAGGTCACTTCATAACTCAGCAAGTTGTCCAAAATTCAGAACTAAGATTCTCAAGATTTAGGTTCCCAAAGACTAACTTCATTTCAAAAACTAAGAGTAAAACAAAGCATAACATAACTGTAGCCCCAATATTAAATGCAGATACAATTATATGAAAGGGGTCCAATGATGTTTGAGCCTCCTGTAAAGAAGAACATACGGTGTTGGCACCTACAGAGGGCAGAGCTCTTCGTAAGTCCATGTTCCCAGCAACATTCAACAGCACACTTGATTCTGCAAGTTAAGACTCTAACTCTGACCTGACATACCACTGAGCAATTGGCCCTTAGAAAGAAACTTTGCAATGCTGTTGGCACAAGTGGGCCTTTCAGCATTCTGCATTAAGATCAGTTCTTGAAACTCTTAGATCACACACCCTAGATGTCATCTTAATTATAACCAAGGGTGCCATAGGTACAGGAAAAAAACACATGAAGAATTGGCTCCCATCCACGTCAGACTGTCTGCTATGAAGAAGCCAGTGATAATTTCAGTTTGTTAAGCTTTAGATTTCAAAGTGCTAGCAGCATCTCAAACCTCAGCCTTTTCCTTAACTATGGTGAAGGACTCCAACCCTTTTGCAGAGAGGAACATTTTCCCTGTTGAGACCACATTGCTGCTAAATGCTATGGGACTGCAGTATCTGATAAGAAATGCAGCATTTCACACCCGGCCTATGTCTGTACTGCCGAAAAAATAGAGCCAGGGAGTGAGTTTGAACCTTGTACCTCATCAATCAGCCATATTGTCAGTGATGACACCCTGGCATGATTTTGGCCTAATGTTATTTAATACCCACTGTTCAGGCATGGTTTGGAGGCCATAAGAGCAAAGGATTATTCTCCTAGACAGAATGGACAGAATTACACCAGTTTGTCTCCCTCCACAGTTCTCCAGTTTTATAATAATTTATACTCTATTTATTTATTGTAAACTTCGTAAAATCTATTTATTGTAATAAAATTTATTGATATTTATTGTAACAGGTTTTGCGCCCTCAAATATTTCAATACACAACCACTCCTCATGCTACATGCATTACACCATCTCGGCCTCAGGGAATAAAAATTCCAGTCTGATGGGCTGCAACATGGCCTTTGCATTGTATGGACACTAAATCATAATATTTTGATTCAGTGCTTCTAGAAAAAAATAAATATTCTCAAAGGCCACAGGTGATAGCTACCAAGGGCCCCGAGAAGACCTCAGTGAAGATAATTTGGACAGGGCAAGTTGGTGCTGCTTGGTATGGGAGAGGTCCTTGGCCCCATTTTATTGAGTGACACAGATGTAGTCTTAACTCTCCTAATCTTACTTCCAACAGTAGCCTGAACAATATCATTACTTACACAAGCCCTAATGGTAGCTCTATGAAAGGAGCTAGTCCTGTAGAGGAATGTCAGATGTTAACTTGCGTTGATGCTGATCATCTTTGTTCAATGGAAAGTTTGGCTTCAAGAAAAAATTTGGCTCAGAGCACAATAGATCATGAAACTTTACCTTAACAATACCCATGCCTAAAATGAAGGGTTCAAGCTTCATCAAAAAAGACAGTAAAGCACTGGTGCCTATCAATGCAGTGTAAGAGTTACTCCACATATATCAGCACTGACCCCAATTCTGTTCTTAGGCTTTAGATTTCCGAAGTCTAACCCTAATTCCTACCTTAATTATAACCATTAGACTCATGCCCAGAACTCCCCTCACCCTCATACCTCCCACGTCCAAAACCCCTCCCTTGTTGACCTCAGCCCTGTTCCTAATACTGAGGGCTGTGCAGCAGCCTGAGGAAGAATACAGGTTCCTGAGTATTTGGATTCTTAACTGACCCTTAACAGTTTGGTTATAAACACCAATGGACCCCAGGTTCCCTTCTGATCGCCTTGGTCAACAGCGTATGGTAAATTGCTTCTTCATGTGCATTGGTCATACACATACCTGCCCTATAGCAGAACAGAAAATAAGGTGTCTTCAAATTTGTGTTCTTCAGGATCTCTAGATCCAAACCCTAAAGTTAACCCTAATCGTCATTCTAACCTTCATTTTCATAGTGACAAGCGACTCATACTTTTAGGAAAGAGAACACTTTCACTCTTCTCAGCTTCAGCCTCCCCACCTCATGAGGTCCTGCAGGACCACGCAGTGAATGCAGCTTCCAGTGGTAAGCTTGGTTCATGACACCCCCAAGGATAATGTAAACTGAACCCTGACAGGTTATAACCCTTTGCTCATTTCTATCACAGCTTATAAGGTTCAGGCCTCATCTGACACATGCTTTCTTCTTCTCTGCAGTCCAAACACCATCCTGCAATAATCCAGGTCCTTCAGTCTTTGAACTCCCAATCCTGTCTTTAGCCATAGCATCAGCATGGTTATAACCAGAAGACCATGCCTTTAAAGAGAATGTAAGATACGAGTTCCAGTAAGACCCACCGATGTGGTAAATATGCAAGCCCTACGGCATTCAGCAACAATCAGTTTCTTAAGGTTCAGACTTCTGAATCTTAACCATGATATTGCTTTAATCAAGGAATGAATCTCTACAAGCTAAGGAACATAAAACGTATTGATGCTCTTACTCTTATCTCTATGAGCCCTATAGTCTCTTTATTGCCTTTAGATAGCTTTAGGGGATACGGCAATATAATTCTGCTTTGAGGATCCAGTTAGATGGCATTCTTCTCCTTGTGTAAGTGTTTGTCAATTACCTTCCTGCTCAGAGTTTTCAGTGGTTCCTGCTTATCGGTGCTGGGGTCTGTTGGCACTCAAATCTTCTTCCTCCCTTTTCTACAGACAAAGAACTAAGAAGGATGCCAGGCAGGTCCTTGCTGCATGTGCCTAATGAGCAGGGTTTGGGGAAAGTGCAGCATGGAGGGAAAACATCAGCCTCTCCAGCTGCTGCTCCTTTGGGGAGCTTGAACAGCTGGAGAAGTGCCCACTCATGAAGACATTGGTAAGCCTTCGACCCATCACCGTCTCCTTTCCTGCCCTCTCTGACCTCTCAGCAGGGCAGCAGCTCTGTCCTGCCATGGACTTGGCTGTGTGGGCTGTGAGGGGAGTGACACTGGCAGCACTGACGTGGCTGTGGGCTGTCTTTGTCTTGAGGTGGGATGGAGGCAGAGGGACAGCAGCAGCCAAGATGGATTTAGAAAGTGTCCTCCAGATGTGTGAGTCCAGGTGGGGTCCTGTGCAAACACAGTTAGCTCTCGGTGCCTTGTTTGCACAGATCAGCATCGTGCAGCATGAGTTTATTGCAAAAGACAGTGCTCCATGTGCTCTGCAAACTGCTCTCAGTACCTATGCTCACTTTCACCTCTTTGGTGATGGGACTTCAAGCCTTCCTTCAGCCGAGCTGACTGTTACCACAGGCACTCCTGGCACATCTCAGGTCTTAAAAACACCAGGGATTTGCCCAATACTACACCCACATTCCCTCCCCACTCCTGTATCCTGAATTTGACAGTCACACACTGCTCAGGTCTTTCCTTAAGCACCTTGTCTCATAAGAGATCCCAAACCTGATGCAGATCTTCCCAAAATCTAAGGTCACGCATCTCTGCAGATTTGTTTCCTTCATTAATCTCAAACCCTGTGTGAGCTTTCAGACTGCTAAGTGCATAGGAAACTGCAGTCTTACCTTTTGCTTAGAAATAAAATGAACGTGGTGCTGATTCACCTGTTCTGTGTCTTAAGCTATCTGCTTGCAGAGCAGTGGAGTTGAGAGCAAAGCTGTGTGTCCTTTCTAACTTTATAAGAAGTTTTCCCATGGAAACAATGTATTGCCCATAGGCTCTTTGTTTCTCTTTTTGCAAATTTGTCTTCTTCCTTGGTAACCTTTGAATCCAATTGTCCAATTTCAATGATATT